TACGTCTTCGTTACAGTAGGTAAAAGTTGTAGCCATTGGTATGAACCTCTAGCTGAAAACTCCTTATATAAATAATTCTTAAGTGTTCTTATTACTCGTTCTACAATTGCAGCTTTTTTGGTACTGAATGTAAAATAATGATTAATATTGTATTCTTCAACCATAGCTTGAAAAGTTCTATTGAAAAATTCCTTTCCTTGGTCGCTTTGTAGATTACTTGGTGCATACCCTGCTTCTGTAATAATATCCCTCATCGCCCTGGTAACTTCAACTCCAGTTTTATTCTTGACAGGTCTAGTGTACATATATTTAGAATAGCAATTTATACACACTAATATGTAACGATAACCATTATTTTCACTACTATATTGTTGCATTTCAGCCAAATCTATTTGCCACAAATCGCTATATCCCTTAATTATTGTACGCCTCCTTGGAAAATTTTTTCTAGCAGGTCTATGAAGTTCATTGACAATTTTTAACTTTTCAGGGCTAACCTCCATATTTCTAAAAGACGTATCTTGGAGAACTGATGAAAATTGCTACTTGCTTTTCTTAATAAATTATTCGTTCTTCCCGGAGTTCTTCAATTATAGATATTATTTCGTTATCATGTCCGGTGTGTCCCGCCATCTTTGAACTCCAGAGTAATCGTAAACGATCTATTAACTCTTTCGGTTTATTCCAATATACATAATTCACATTTTCCGAAATGACACGTTTTTGGAGGGGTAAGCTACCTTTTGAATTATTTTTCTGAATCCCAGTACCTAATCGAGTTCCTTGCATTAGAGGTTTTATGATACTTGTATACTTTCTCCACCTTGTAGCTCTCAACCCATACTTTTTATTATAGTCTGTATACGGTGCTTCTGTCAACTGCAAAATTGATTTATAATTTTCGATAACTTCGGGATCCATTTCACCTTCATTACCCAATGCTGGTGGATTTCTCAAGAAAAGTAGGTCGTAAAGTTCAGAGTTCCCTTGAAATTCACTAATTTTATTATTTTTGTCCACAAGAACAACATTACCGGGTGGAAAACGTATTTCCATTTTACCCATATACATCACATATTTGTTCTTCTTTTCACGTCGAACCCCATAAATATTGTCAAATAAAGATGGTTTAGCCGTAAATTCGTTTAGATAAGATTGAATTACACTGTCCGGAGATTCCACTGAGTAGTCACTAGATGTCATTGCAGAAGTATTTGAGGGTGGTGGTGTAACAAACCTTTCATCAAGCGTGTGTCTATGTATACTCGATTCATCCCAGAGAGGCTTCCGTGGTTTTATCAATGGAGTTGACGTTTCTTTTGGTGCACGCTCCGTAAATGCTGTCTGTGTGGGTGTACTTACACTTTCAGTTGATGTACCCATACTTATTTGATCGTATTTTGGTTTCAAACTTTTTTGTTTTTTAATAACATTGGATATAGATGTTAACGGTGTACTAATCGGTTCGTAAAATTTCTCCAATTCAATTTTATCGTGTACGCTTGCAGATTTAATTTGTTTAAATTTTTTTCGAACAGCATCTGTAGCTTCGACTAATTTGCGTTTCAAATCAATTTCCTCGTTCATTTTGGCTGTGGCCTACTACTATATCGTTTAGTTGTCAAATGAGCTTTAATTAAGATTACTCTATTAATATATAGCTATCGAACCCTACACGATATCTTCCAGAGTTTAAATCACTATCTTTATCGATAACTAAAAAACCATACTTATCGTTCCAACATTTTGCACACATCTCTTGAAATTGATTAAATGTTACATCAGGCGAAACATGGTCCGAATAAATATGACGTAGATTCATTTCATCCTGTTTAAACATAATAATTAAATTGGCATTATCGCGCACTAATTGTTTGGGAACTCGTGAGTATGTCTGGGCTAGGTAAAATGAATCCACATAATTGTGACGACCCATACTAAAATATGAGCGTATAACATCCTGTTTTTCACACATTACATCGTCGAATATAAAGATAGAATTTGGTTTAGCATCAGATGGTTCTAAAATACTGTTTGCATCACTAAATGTGTAGTAACCCAAACCCTTAATAGGTGTAAAAACTTTCTGCAGATACTCATATTTCGGTTGATACAACGACTTGGAATATATGTAAACATTTTCAAAACACAATCCCAACGGATGAGTAAGTAAGGTAATCATAACATTAGTTTTTCCACAGTTTGATGGTCCTATTAACAATCCACGAATCGATAAAGGGAGTAGCGGACCATGACGCCTTCTATATTTTGAAGTGTAACTGGACCCCACCTTTTTATCAATATTTTCGATATCTAGTTTCTGTTTAAGTTTTACAATCTTCATTTTTTTCTTCTAATAAAAAAAATAGTAGGTACATTAAAGTGAACGCCTGGGTTTAATGTTCATTCAGATGTCGCTCGTCAAACGAACTGGACGCTCTCGATATTCAAATAAAACTGGTAGTGGTATAGTTAATTCGTTAATTAATAAGTTACCGTTTGAGTTACATCTTCCCGGATATCAGTACTGTGGACCCGGTACAAAACTAAAAAAGCGTCTAGCGAGGGGCGATTTAGGTATTAACCCCTTGGATGCAGCTTGTAAGAAACACGATATAGTATATTCGCAAAATCTTAATAATTTGGGTGAACGTCATAAAGCAGATAGCGAACTTGAGCAACGTGCTTGGGAGAGAGTTAAATCTAAGGACTCTACTGCAAGTGAAAAAGCTTCAGCTTGGTTAGTAACAAATATTATGAAGGCAAAACAACGCTTTGGGATGGGGTATAGAGCGAGATCAAATAAGGGTAAAAGTATCAAAAAAGGAAAACGACTCCCAGCTAAATCTTTGAAAGGTGTGCGTAAACGTAAAAGATTACCCAAACTTGCTTTTGGAAAAGCGCTGAGACGACCGATTCAAGCCGAATTACGCAAAGCCGGAGGTAAAAAAATTGCTGAAAAAGACATTCTAAACGCTTCTCGAATAGCCTTAGCTGCAGCACGGAAATTCTTGCGAAAATCCGGTGGTAAAAGAAGAATTTGCACTCCTAGAATAATACCTATTCCAAAAGTGGGTGGCTTATTACCATTAATACCAATATTTGCCGGTCTTTCAGCTTTGGGATCACTGGCTGGAGGAGTTGGAGGTATCGTTCGTGCTATAAAGACGGCAAAAAATGAGAATTCTCAAAAGACAGGCGGCCGCCTAACTTTGAATTCAAAGGGGAATGGTATATATTTAAAACCATACCGATCAGGTTTAGGACTTTTTATGAACAAATCAAAAAACTCATAGGATCCCTGCCCCAAAGACCACTATCCAATATCGACATAAGCAAGTATGCATTTCAAATGAAAATACCAAATTTTAGAGGGGTTTATATGAGGGATACTCTTCCATGGCGTGGTCCAAAATGCTATGAATGTGCTATTGTTAACTTAGATAGTAGCAAGGGGTTAGGGACACATTGGGTGGCATACAAAAAGGTAAATTCACAAGTTATTTACTATGACAGTTTTGGTAATTTATCACCCCCTATAGAATTGCTAGAATATCTACGACGAGGTTCCAAAGCTGCCACTAATATTTACTATACATACGATCGTCAACAGAAGTTTGGAACAGTCTGGTGCGGACATTTGTGTTTAAAGTTTCTCTCAGAATCATAATATGTCTTTGACACCTCAGATGGATCGAGATCATTATAAAAAAATGGCTTTATCGCTTAAAGTCTACTATCGCCATGGTAGTTTACTAGAATTAACTTCTGAACAGTTAGAAAACATGCCAAAAGAAGTTATGATTACCTGTAAACCGAATGAAATTGCATTAGTATGGGATAAGTTACCGGAACACATGAAAAACGACATTGATATCCTTAAGTATCAATATTCTAGTGAACAATACAACAATTTATATGAAGAAGAAGAGAGTGACGTATCAACACCTAGAAAACTATATTGTTGCTATTGTAAAATGAGGGATGTAAATATTACCAATGAAAAAATAGAGCAAGGTAAACGTCGGTTCAGCTTTAACCCACTAAAATGCTGCAAACAACAATAAAAACCATGTTGAAGTTAATTTACCATCAGTTATGTCTTACACATTTACCTTAACGGGACGCTCTAGCGTCTTAAGTGCAAACTTTTATCCACCTATAGAACTGAATGCTACAGATAGATATGGACTTGCACTTGTTGGCTTCTATACGTACAACTCAATTTTTAACATAGACGAAAGTAACAATCGTTTCTCTTATAAGAAAACCGAAAAATCTAAATCTGTAAATATGATAATTCCACCTGGTGTTTACGAAATATACGAAATTGAAAAAGCTATGCTCACCGCATTAAAGGAGTCTACTAAAGAAAACGAGGATAATTTATTTTCACTGTTGGCCAACAACAACACACTAAAATGTGAGATTAAATCAAAATATATAATCGACTTCACGGAAGAAAAGAGTGTCGGAAAAATGCTCGGATTTGGTCGTGTTCTGCTAAAAAATGGTATAAAACACGAATCGACATTTCAAGTGGACATTATGAAAGTACGTATAATACGAGTAGATAGCAATATAACTTCGGGAGCATATCTTAATTCAAACGAATGCCATATATTGTTCGAATTCGATATAGAATCTGAGCCTGGCTTTAAAATCACAAAGGAGCCTTCAAATCCTATTTATTTACCATTAAGACCAGACGGGCGCCAGTTCTTAGATAACATCACACTACGCATCTTGGATGACAACGGTGATTTGATCAATTTCCAAAAAGAAAAGATTATAGTTAAGCTGGAATTGAAAAAGTTGACATAAATATGGGCTTCCGCTATAATTGTCAACCGCAAATTGTGCTTTCTTCTAGACTAGCAACGTATCCCAATAAAAGCAAGCGACCACCTAAACCAGAATCCATTTATAAACCAAACTTAAGGTGTGAAGGACGTCTACCACGACTCTCTACCAGAGATTATAAATTTCTACAATTTATTGGATTGAAAGTACGTAAACAATCAAAATGATGACAACTAGCGAAAAAATTGAAGTTTTTACAGAACCTATTCTCGATAATTCTATTGTTAGCTTGCAAGAACACACGTATAAACCATATGGATCTCCAAAATTTCAAAATTCCGACGAAATTCGAATTCCAGTTCATTTTCAGGATATTATTTTGGACATATCCGAAAGTTATATCTACATTGAGGGCACATTTGAGACTACCGACGCAACTAAAAAATGTTATTTATCAAATAATTCACTAGCTTTCCTTTTTGATGAAATCCGATACGAGATGGGTGGTGAAAAAGTTGCAGCAGTCAGAAAACCTGGGATAACTACAGCTTTAAAAACGATGGTTTCCTTTGGTACCGCACATACCAAACCGCTTCTAACATGTGGCTGGGGTCTAAACGAAAAGAAACAAGATATTTTAGATCTCTCCAGCAATATTTTTTCGGGTAAATTACCTTTAAAATATTTAATGGGTTTTGCCGAAGATTACACAAAGGGAATTTTTAATGTAAAGCAGGAATTGATTATAATAATCGCTCGTACCTTTAGCAATTGCTATATTGGTGAAGTGGAAGCTAATATAAAAATTAATAAAATTGAGTGGAAAATTCGCCATATAATCCCAGAAGATCGACAAAAACTTAAAATATTGTCTCGTATCAATAAAGGTAGTAATAGTGCAAATATTCATATGACTTTTCGAACGTGGGACCTTTACGAACTGCCTGCTTTAAGAGAGACTTCGTCAGATGTTTGGGCCATTAGAACTAGCACAAGTTTGGAGAAACCTCGTTATATTATCATCGGATTTCAAGATAATAATAATTCGGAAAATTTTAAGAATAACGCAACCCAGTTTACTTCTGCCAACGTTAGTGATATTAGAGTGTATCTTAACTCAACTGTTTTCCCTTACGAGAGATGGAACCTAGATTTTACAAAAAAACTGTACGCTGCAGCCTATTACAATTATGAAAATTTCCAAAGAAGCTATTATGGACGCGAATTTAATGATCCTATGATGCATTTCGGCGAATACACAAAAAATCCAGTATTCCTAGTCGATTGCGTTCACCAGACAGAGAATGTGAAATCTTCAACCGTAGATGTGAAAATCGAGTTCCAAACACGAGATAGCAAATTTCCAAAAGACACAAAAGTATACGCCTTAATAATACATGACTCAATAATTAATTATAATATTTTAAATGGTTCGGTGTCGAACCAATCTGTATTCTAATGTTAAGGAATAATTTTTTGACACAAAAAAAAAATAATGTTTTAATAGTGCATTATTGTTATTTTAATTATAACATTTTACATTGTTCGAGTTCGACCAAGTTGTATTTTAACTTTAAGGTTTACTGTTTTACACGATAATTTTTTTATATGATATATTAAATAGTTCGGTGTCGAATAAACCTGTTTTTTAATTTTAAGTTGTTTTTAATTATCGATCTAGTGTCTAGTAAAAAGTTTTATTAAAATAAATAGATATATAAATACATTTGGTTTTTATTCTTTTTTTTTATAATTCTTATTGTGGTTCTAAAAAGAACCGATTTTATTATATCTAGTGGATCGACGATTATTTATGGGGTAGTTGAGTCTGCTTCTCCATCGTCATCATCATCCTCAACGATTTCTGGAACCCACATCCAAGAGCTGTCAGCTGGTCCAGCTAATTCGTCCGGTGGTTGACATGGAGTCCACCAACTTGAGGAATCAGGTAAAGTGTCCTCCTCCGAATCGGTTTCTTGATTGTATTCTTCCAAGTCAATCTCGATGCGTTGACCTTCCTCAAAAAATTCGGTTTCTTCCGAGGAATTCGAGTCGGGTGACGCTGGGCGCTCCACTCTTTCAGTTTCTAGACTGAATACAAACGAAGAGGAATCTGACATGATGGTTACTGATCCCAAGAATGTGAGCTTTGAGCTATTTATTTCCCGAACAGTGTTGCCGTTTCACAAATATTTTCCGAAAAAATACTTAACAAACATGCGCATAATAATTTAGTTATATTTAGTTATATTAATAAATTTAGTTATATTTATACAGCTTTTTTTTACTAATAAAAAAAAAAAAAGTTTTACGATCAAGTAGGCTTTGAACCCCCACGAAAATCGTGTCATTGTCGGTCAAAAAAAAAAAAAAAAGGTTCGGTTCGACATTGTCCCATTTTTACAACAGATAAGAACCACCCGTTGGCCAGGTGTTTCAGTTTCAAAAGAATATTTACCTGTGCGAAGAGAATGTGATAAGTGGATAAGATGGTACTTAAGCTACTGAATTTTCAAAGCTTACTTCGACGTTAATCAATTTTACAACAGGGAAGGACCACCCGTCGGGCAGGTGTTTGCGAGGGTGGATATCAATCAGTTTACAAAGGGGTGGAATATTGGCAGCGGTCGTCCCAACTCTACCTTGAAAATACTGTCATTGTCGGTCAAAAAAAAAAGGTTCGGTTCGACATTGACCCATTTTTTACAACAGATAAGAACCACCCGTTGGCCAGGTATTTCAGTTTCAAAAGAATAGTTACCTGTGCGAAGAGAATGTGATAAGTGGATAAGATGGTACTTAAGCTACTGAATGTTCAAAGCTTACTTCGACGTTAATCAATTTTACAACAGGGAAGGACCACCCGTCGGGCAGGTGTTTGCGAGGGTGGATTGTCAGCCAAAAAAAAAAAAGGTTCGGTTCGTTATCGACCCATTTTACAACAGAGAACGTTTTCAGGTGTGCCAGATGTTTCAGTTTCAAAAGAATATTTACATCGGCGTAGATAATGTGGGAAGTTGGTACTAAAAGGATACTTAAGCTACTGATTTTTCAAAATTTGGTTCAACGTCAATCAATCAATTTTACAATAGGTAAGGACCACCCGTCGGGCAGGTGTTTTCAGGTTTAGACGTTCCAAGAAATTTTACCTACGCTACTTATACGTCTTATACGACGCTAATAGTTTTGATTTTTGCCTTTCTGTTATTGGTTCAATCCCCGATAACCCAGTAAGGGTGGTTTTTCAAGATTTACTTTTTTTATTGTTAGGCTTTCTTTTGCAAAAGTAACATCCAACGTAATTTTCTTTTTTTATCTATAGAAATATAAAAAGAAATATAATATATAATATATAAAAAGAAAAAAATATATATAGAATATAACTCCGATAATAAATAAATAATTTAAATTAATATATGTGGGGTTCTAAGATTTTTTTATTTATAATAAGATTGTTCTAAGATTATTTTATTTTAAAATGTTTAACTATATACAAGAAAAAAGTAATTTTCTTTTATTTTATCTATAGAATATATCTCATAATAATAAATTAAACTAATATATATGGGGTTCTAAGATTTTTTTTATTTATAATAAAATTGTTCTAAGATTATTTTATTTTATAATTTTTAACTATATACAAGAAAAAAGTAATTTTCTTTTATGTTATCTTTAGAATATATCTCATAAAAATAAATTAAACTAATATATATGGGGTTCTAAGATTTTTTTATTTATAATAAGATTGTTCTATGATTATTTTATTTTATAATTTTTAACTATATACAAGTAAAAAGTAATTTTCTTTTATTTTATCTACAGAATATATCTCATAAAAATAAATTAAACTAATATATATGGGGTTCTAAGATTTTTTTTATTTATAATAAGATTGTTCTCAGATTATTCTATTTTATAATTTTTAACTATATACAAGAAAAAAATTTAAAATTTTTAATTTATAAATTTATTAACTATACAAAATACTATTACACTATTACAATACTATTATACAAAACTATACACATTACTATATACAAAAAAAATATATATTATTGCAAACAAAAAAAAAATATACTAAAAATTACACTTATACATAAAAAAATATTAATTTTCAATAAACATTGCCGCTAAAGCGTCCTTTTGAGATTTTTGGATGCTCATTTTTTTCTTTTGAGCATCAAGCTCCAATTTGGCTCGCTTTAGGGCTTCCTCTGCCATTTTCACTGCCGCTTCAGCCTTTGCCACCGCGGCTGCACCATCCTCTTGATTTTTTCTATAGGATTTCATCCATATCTGGATGTGTTGCGCCAAACCAAGCTTCTCCACAGGTGATGGTGCGACACGATGTGATAAAGACCCCGACAATGTAGCAATTGTTGTTGATGATGATGAAGATACTGTTTTCTTTCTTCTCCTCTCAGTATTAGTTTCATCCATCGTCAACATTCGCTTTAAATTTGGTAGAGCTGAGCCGGGCGAATGCTGTTTCTGCGATATTCTTGATTGTTCTTCATTTTCTTGATATTTCCTATTGTCTCCACTCTCGTTTTGAACAAGATCTTCAAAATCTAAGATCACTGTGTAGTTCGGATCTTCGCAGTCCGGAAGGGAATTTAATATTTCCTCACCATTTACAGAAGACATGTTTTTTATCTCTTCGGCAATATCTGAAGACTAATGCAATAACGTATGAGGAACTCTATCTTATAGCCGATCTCCCCACTGTTACACCCTCTGCGCATACTATGCAGTATTATAGAATAACTAGGAATTTTTCAAGCCTATGGCAACATCGCATTCTTCCTTCGTCTAGTTCTTACCCTGAACCCACTAGTGATCTATAAGTGTATTATTTGTATTTACTTTTGTTCTAATAAAAAAAAAAATAATCACAATAATTATTGTAAAATAGCCTTTATTTTAAACCATTTGAAAAAAAAATACTATAATTACAACTTCCTGTCTTAACCAATACACTAATTATTTTAAGAGACTTAATATAGTCCTCATTCTATGTTCACACTTTTTTAGACGCTCCTCCCTAATCTGAAGTTCCAGTTGTTGTAGTGCAAGTGTTTCTCGCGCTTCCACTACACTCAATTCAATTTGCTTGAATTCGTCCAAGAACTGTTCTTTTATTCGCACCACTTGGGCGAACAGGTTTCGCTCTTCCTCACTCAAGTAGTCGTCGAAAGTCTGCTCTTCTTGCTGTTGCTGCTGCTGCTGCTGTGGGTGTTGAACCGGTTGCGACTCTTGCTGCAATTGTTGGAGCAGCTCGTGGTGAGGTTGCTGTTCTTGTTTTTCCTTATTACACTTAGTATTACGTTTTTCACCACCACTTTTTCTCTTATAAGGTGTCTCCCCCTTCAGTATGTTCTTCAACTTTGATCCGGATTGTTTGTTTTTACCCCCTACTGGAGATGGTTTAGGCTGAACCACCTGAATATTTGATATAATATTCACTTTTGGTTTTTTCTTCTCCTCTTCCACCACTTTCGCAAATATGCGATCAAACTCTTCACTCTCAAGTTGGAAATCGATATCATCACAAATTATATTTGCCATTATAGTCTGCGTATTAAATAGGTTATGTTCGGACATCTCTCGCTAGGAAAACTAATGAAATTTATACTGTTGAGCTACTTTTTATACACGAACACCCCACTACAAACTCTCCCTATACCTGATGCATGCGGTTTGAATATTATTCTTCAATATGTTTCAAGGGTAAAGTTACATTAAACAGAGTGTATCTTAAATGTTCGGTTATATACTTTAACCTTAAAAAGTCCTTAACATCAAGATCTAAAGGGCGCGTTCAGGGACGGTTAGCGGTTGCGTAAGTGGTCTCTTTTTACACACAAAAAAACAGTCAGCCGCTTAGCAAAAGTTTCAGCGACCGGTCAGCCGCTGTGCCCCTGAACGCACACAAACTCTCGATATTAAGATGTAACATTGTTGCCATTTTAAATGTTCTCGACATTGGAATATTGAAACTGGTTGCAGTAGGGAGCTATTCACAAAATAGTGGGCGGAGTTAAAGATAGTAGGAGGAGTTAAAATCATGGTGGGGTTTACTTCTACTTAAAGCTCAAATCTGTGTTGTATTCTATCATATACTGTCACTTAGTGATACAGTACATTACTAAAATATCAAACCAGTGTCCATTTCTTACAAGTTAACTATGGATTTGTGGAAACCAGTAAAAACTCCAACACCACCGCCAGCTGACATATCCTGGGATGAACCATGGGATTTGTTCCACCAAAACCAGCCGATATGATGCCTCCATCAATACCAGCTGATGTATCATGGGACGAACCATGGGAGACGGTTTCAATAAACCAACCGATATGTCGCCTCCGTCAATACCAGCTGATGTATCCTGGGACGAACCATGGGAGATAGTTCCACCAAAACCAGCCGAGATGACGCCTCCACCAATACCAGCCGACATATCCTGGGACGAACCATGGGAGACGGTTTCGCCAAAACCAGTCGATACGACGCCTCCACCAATACCATACGATATATCCTGGGATCAGCTGGATGAGACGGTCCCACCATCCGATTTATCGTGGGACGAACCAGGGCAGGGATACTGCTCCAGAGGAGTATTATAGGGTGAATCCTATAATACTACCTACACCGCAAGGACTCAATAAAAAACAGAGAAAATATTTAGAGAGCGTGAACGTAAAAGACACGCTCTCTTTAATACCCCGCAGTGCTATCTATATAATTTATAGTTTATTTTTAATAATTATAATTTATAGTTTTTTTTAAATAAATAAATATTATTAATACATTTTTTTATTTTTTTTAACAGCCCTAATACACCAATATATGCTCAGAGTTGAGAAGAAAATCATATATAGGTAGTGTTATCATTAACTTTGAAAATCTGCATTTTTTTTCTTTAAAATGAGTAGTTAAAAGGAGTAGCTAAAATGAGTTGTTGGGTCACAATGCTATCTTCTTTAATCAATGTTTTTTTTTGTTAATAGACCTAAACACACTAATATATGTTCAGAGTTTCTGACTTGAAAAATGAATAGCTTCTAAGAAAATGTGCATTTTTCTTTAAATTGTATTTGAAATTATTGCTGACTTAAGAATAAGATATATTTGTCTGCAGCTGTACAGACTGCCAAACTATTTTTCTTCTTTGTTCTAATTTTTTATCCTACACTATAAAATGCAGTGATCTCAGTTCATGTTTGGTAGCTTTGTTAAGTGTTTAGTTTAAATATCTATGGAATAATAACACAATCTCTTTAACTTTTTAGTAGGAATTATCTTAATTAAGTATTAAATTCAGATGTGAATATGAACAATAAAAAAAAACACATAGATTTTTTTTTTGGAAACAAATATGATTTTATTTAAGTAATATAAAAATAAATCACAGTTAAATAAGCTTTTTCTAAAACATGTTAACAAAAAAAAAATACATAAAAATTTAAACATTTACAAAGCACAAATGCGTAATGGACACAGTTATATACATTTACATATTCTATTTTCAATTAAAACTAATATCTACAGATAGGACTTTTCAACTTATACGCTTTCATCTATTTCATCTCGAAGCATCTGTTCGGCGATATATAAAAATATATTTAAATTAGTATCGGGATCTGTTTTATAAAACTCAATATCTGTATGCCCCCAAGGTAGAGTTTTTGTTGTCGTAGGAATTAGATATCTTTTGTCATCTCTAGAATTAAGAGCCACTCGGTTGGTTATCATCGTGTAAACGTCGTGCAAGTCACTTTTGAAAGATTTCATTTTACGAAATATAAGACCACCACGTTCTACTACTTTCTTATAATCGTCTACAGTTAAATCTTTTGCGATTATTGGTTTTTTTACACCTTTTGCCTTTTTTATTTCAGTGTTGACTGAGGCCACATAATAAGCTTTGGCACCTGTGCCATAGAAGCATTTTATTGGATCAGATGGAAATTCATCTTTCATTCTACCCAATATCGATTCGCTTTTCTTAATGTTGTAGTTGTTATTAAATGCATAATTTGATGTATCAAATTTTGTTGGGTTTTCAACCATAATCTGGTAAAAATTTTCCGTATATATTTTTAATATCAATGAATCCGTGTCAGTGTACAATAGAGAAGCGTCAGCGCCAAACTTTTTTTTAATAAAATTATAGAAAAAATCATAAATTACAACTTTAGACATATCCAATATTGAAAATCCCGTATATATAGGTTTATCATATAGTATTTTCAGTCTACCCATATGAATTGCGACTAAATCTTCAGTAAAAATTGAGCTGGTTTTAAAATTTGGACGAGCAATCAAAGCCTGGGCTCCTAATCGTTTACCTTTATTTTCCCAATGAGTGACTAATTTAATATCTTTACGATTTTCAACATTTTCCATGGTTTTTCCAAAAACGGCATTATTATATAGTTTAAATAAGTCTTTTTTAAATTTAGTTTTAGATTTATTCCTTAGTTCTGTATTAAAATCGATATATTTTTTTAACCATCGTGACTGCTGGAATTTTAATACCCTATGAATTTCTGTTACTATCAGATCATTTTTTATGGCTTGTTTGAGTGTTTGATAATGAACAATATATTTTCTTTTATCGTTTAAATTCGGAATTAGTTTTGTTAATTTTGATGTTTCCGTAGGTGGCACTATATTTTCAACTAAGAACGGAAGATCTGAATGTTTATCGTGCAAGTGCTTAGGATAATGTATATCAACTTCCAAAACGTAACCGTATTTACTATCGTCTTCAACATTCATTATGTCTAAATCTATTATTTCACGTTCTGTTAACCAACGGAAATCTCTTAATGGTAATGGTTGAGACATACTATATCCATATAAATTTGTTGCGTCTAAATACATAATAAATGATGAAGGTTCTGAAGGATTATAATTTGGAAGAAACTTATTATTTGCTATATGTTTTCTTTCCGAACACTGACTTACACCACCACGAATACCGTTTTTAAAAAAGTGAATCATATCAATATCCGTTAGCAATTCTAACTCTACCTTGGTCATGCGCAGCATTGAGTCAAATGACAAGCTGGGTAAACTATAGTATTGAAGTGGATCCAATTTATGTATTTTTAAACTTGTATCGCGAAAATTTTCGAAAACATCGCACAGAAGAAGAGTATCCGATTTTAAGTATAAATCCGAATAATCCCCTAGAGTTTTGCAATTGAATAAGCGCCAGACATCCTTTGCTCTTTGATAGTCCACATCGCTAATATGTTCGTTATTTAAATCATCGTAAAATTCATGTTTAGTAGGAAGTGAACGGTTATTCATTTTCTTCAAACTATCCATAAATGTATACGGAAATACACCTTTTTGACGCATTAGGTCAAATTTTTCTTTCTCCGGAAAATGCTTTTTTGTTTCCTTAAAGTTTTCAATTGATAAACCATTTCCCAAATTTGAAAGAGATGTAGATAAAAATTTAAAACTGTCTATAAACCTCAATTTTAAATATTTCTTTTTTACCTCACCCTTACTACCTACATAATCGTCAACGTAAATGCTTTTTGTAAACGAGACATACTTTTCTTTACTCTGGGCAATAATATCAATTTTGTCTCCATGACGACATAATTCCTTAATGAACATATGAGAATCGTAGCCGCTTAAATTGTGAAAGACAATGGGTACAAAGTTGGGTAATTTAAAATTTATATTACAGGTTCCGTGAGCTGCACCTCTGTATTTTCCGGTGAGATGGCAGTGGTCCCTAACTTTTTGCTCTTGGATATCAAATAATCTTTCACATATAAAACATGTTTTTGCGTTAATAAACTCAAGTTTTTCTTTATTGCTCAATGGGATCATCTTCTTAAAATCTTTTAGATATATGTTGTAAATACTTCTTAAATCATTTTCTATGTGAGAAACAAACTCTTTAGCGGCGTCCTTACCGCGATACGTCTCAAATTTAGAAAAACTATCATCGAAAGAACATTTTATCAAATAAGCGAACGAATAAGGTTCGTGTTTGACGCTTTTTAATGTATATGATTTTGTTGAACTTGGCGCAACAGTAGCAATCGGTTTAAGAATTGATTCAAAATCGGCATATACTACAAACGGTACCCTTAATTGTTTTTCGATGTTTTCGAATTTTAGAATGTTTTCGGGAACGCATTTACCGTATTTATCAAGCTTATGGGTCACAGACGGTATTGATGTGTACACGTGATTACAGTCATGATTCTGATGCAATACCAAAGCATGTGCTGAACTGAAATGTAATAAACAACCATCGCAAAAGTAAAGCTTATGTTGATGAGAGTTTATTTGGCTGGAAACAAGACGAGACAAGTTTTTTATCCAGCAATAATGTGTTTTAACACAATTTATATTGCATATATGTCCATCACTATTAACTTTACAATCTTCAATTAGTAATAGTAAATTCACATGTACCACCAATTTCCTTTCTGTGTACCGCAATGGACCTACAACTTCCCAAACTATTTTATTATTTTCAATTTTGCTTTCGAGACCATAAACGTTAACTGATATATTATTCAATTGTTCAAAAGTTTTTATATCGCGCAAATTCATTGGAAAATCCAAACCTGCTATATTTAACAATGTTGCAAAATGTGGATATGAAGATAGTTCTGCAATTTTAGACTTAGCTGGACACAAGGCTGACGTTATGGCCCACGCAAAACAATACTGATCCATGTTTCTGACATTGACAACGGCTTCTTTTCTCCGAATGGGAGTTGGCAACTCAACGAATGAAGATCCACCGATAGGGTTAAACTTGTTAACGTTAATTTCTAAGTACATAATTTTTTGTAAGGCCCAACCTAAAATAAACTGAAATATTATTCTCTATACATCTTATTTAACTTTAGTATCTATAACATACCTGAGTCTTTTTCAAGAAATTCAGATGCTTGTGTCATCAATTTATCGACAAACCATAAATATTTCTCATCTAAGTCTGAAGACCCATCGATAATTTGATTAGCAGTATTAAATGATTTCTCGCTACTATAATTTTCAGTGGATGGTAAAATATAAGAACCAAATACTTCCATGTTTACTTTGATGCTGTTATGAGCAAAAATTATGTTTTTCAATAGGTCTAACACTGTGGATTTTATTTCATTAAAGAACATTTGGTAATCTATGTAGACATTAACTGCACATACTCGATAACTAACGATCCTACATTTAAATGCAGTTTGAATAATTTGGACGTTTTCTGATAATGGAATTGCTGCATTATTCCTATGCTGCAATGTTCTCTCATGACGGGATATCTGATTGCTGGGAATTGTGATATTACATGACGTACAGGTGTGCTGAACATTTGATATTGATGGGTGTAGAGCTTGACGTTTAGGTGTTGAAGGTCCAGGGTCGGTTGCTTTTTTACACGATTCGGCTTTATGGCGCCGCATATTATAACTTCGCGTAAACGATTTACCACAAGCTTCACATATATATAACATTTTGTTAATGTAAACTTTATAAGTAATTACTGAACAACCTATACAATGCTGCACACACCAAAAATATATACGTTACAATAAGATTCTGTAGAGGCATGTCAGAGTTTAAATAAGACCTCCCCCCCCACCCATATTCTCCTAAGAGCATCGATACGCACGATTCATTCCAAAGACATCTGGTCTTTCAAGATCATACATCAAGGTCCTTGTGAAGGGTACACAAACGCATTTCAAATACATCTGAAGTCAACCTTAAAGGTCGTTTAAGGTCTCACAACAAGGTTCTTTCTGGAATCACTCAAGGAGGTTTGAAAGCCACATATGTCAAGGTCAAGCGAACTGCGCATGTGGAGGAGCCCAATCGGCTAATATCTCCTACTCACTAGGACTACATTCCAAAAGTTAATAGAATTAAAAAGTTTAAACTTTTTCGGATGACTTCAGATAAGTATGTCGATGTTTACGCCATGAAATCTGAATCAAAAATGGTTTGATGTCCTGCGCCGACAAGGGCAAGTACGATCCACAGAGTGTCCGAAATTAGTCAGAACTAATTCGATAGGGTGTATGTTGGGTTGCCAATAGTATCGTTTTATTAAAACGTTACAGTGTTTCATAAAATATGACCATTGAGTAATCACGGTTCTGCTTAAACTGCTTGACGTTTAAAGCTGATTTTTTGGCAAACGGATTGACTGTTGGGTGTAGAGGTTTGATAAGGAGGGGTTTCTCGAATCTCAAATTCCACTGGGGTGAAAACACCCCTCAAATATTATAATATTTGTTATTTAAAAAACGGTTACTCTTTCGGAAAATCGCTTGGATACGCATAAATTATTTTGTTTTTTTACATATTTTGGGACGATGATCATGAATCTGATGTCGGTTTCGCAAAATTCAAAATGGCGAATCAAATACGGCCGAAGCGAATTTCAAAAAAAACACATATCCAAACAAAGTCAGTATATGGGAGTTTTTTGGATTGCTGATCTCGAATCTGACGTCAAATGGGTCAATGGGCGAAACTGACGCCGGATTGGCAAAATTCAAGATGCCGAATCCCATATGGCCAACCTCAAAAACGGTGTGTGTCCGATTCAAAACTCTTTTTTATGAAAAATTAAAGTTTTAAGTTTTATTTTATTTTATACCACAAAAAACATTGATACTACAAGACGTCGATGGGGATTATCTAGGTGATCTTTTTATACGTGGATGTTTTATTTAATAAATAGATGTTTCTTCTTGCTATGTTTGCATCGTTAATAGTAACACAGGAAGATGATTTAAGAATGTATGAATGTAAGAAGAAGATAAAAACAACTTTGCAAATTGTTATAAAAGTGAGAACAATTACATTTTTAAATCTTGTAGATAAAAAAATTGACAAATTATGTTCCTCCATTTATTTTTTTTTGTATGAAATTCGTATAGCGACCTTGTCATTTTAGAAGTGTGGTCTGGATTTCATCTTGTAAGACCGTGATGTATGCAGCTTAATGACAAATAAAATATAATAAAGATAGAAAAAAGTTGGGTTGATACATTTCTTCTTCGCGGTATTGCCGGATTTTGCATCAAAATTTTAAACCGCACAAGTAGGTGTTTCCGAAAAATATCTAGGGTTGGAACTTTATTTTTCACAATTAGTTACTCATTTCGCATAAAAGGTTTTAAAATAATCTGTCTTCTTCTACACACATTTTCCTAAAAACCGGCAACACTGTATGCCGCTTTTTATTTTGTCTCTCTGTCTGTCAACCGGTCATATACATAATTCTATTTCTTACACGTTAAAATCCAGACCACACTTTTAAAATGACCAGGTCGCCAATTGTCTGAAAACTACGATTAAGGCATTCAGCAAGTTAACGATTTTTTTTTTCTAATTTATAGATCAATACAGATAAAATTGTATATAAAAATAAACATAGCGATATATATTCCTGTTAATACAGGAAGATATTAACAGGAATATAATATAATATAATTAATTCTATACCGTCCATCCGCTAAAGTCAGGTAGGAAAAACAAAGAGAACCAATGTTGTTAACAAACTACACGAATACTAAAATATGGAAAGTAAGCTGGATGTTCTGGATTAACTAAATTGCAATAACTGCCGAGGCCGGAGGGATTGGAGCACCGACAGAAATCCGCCCGTTGTGCACAAACAGAATTAACCGAATCTGTGTCACCGGCGGCACAGCAACTTGCAGTGCAAAGCATCCATAAAATGCGCTGCGAATATTCGACGACACATCGCGCTTCAACCGTGAAAATGGTGTGATGCCGTCGTGCCAATTTACCTTACTAATTATTTAGAATTGCTAGAATAACTTCTCTAAGGATAAACAACAAATAATTAACTTTCTACATTTTCATGAAGTTTTACTCCTGGATCATATTGGACGGAAAATTGAGGGAATGATCCTAGGCACTAGGCAGTGACGGCGCGTGGTTTAATAGTAAAGTAAAGATTTCAAGTTAACGTCTCCTTTTTGCTGTCACGTCGCCTTTTTGCTAATCTGGACGGGGCCTACTTTGTTTACGCGGAATCTGAACCGCGGTCCTCGGTCATATAATGGTCAGTGGCCTACCGATTCGGCAAGTGTCTAAATCGACTCTTACTCATGAGATATCCGATCTCATCCGGCCTCAAACCGGTGTAAATGAGCAGTGTGTGTCAATAGATTTTACACTTTTGCCTTTTTCGGACAACAGCACGATACAGAGTTTCTAACCGGTCACCCGTTCATCCACTAGCATCGCCTTACGTCGCTTAACTTTTAGTAATAATACAAAAAAAACTACTAACTTGTTTGACTATTTTCACACCGGTTTCTCTTGTGGCACAGTAAAAATTGGATTTTGGATAAACCATTTTCACATGTTACTAAGTTCTTCTAATCTTAATATTGGTTTGTGTATTATAAATGACTTCCAAACTCACCTGAAACAAAATAAATATTGTTAATCTTAATTGTAAATAAGTAAATTTGATATTAATTGTAATCATTGAATAAAATGACTTTTTTAAAGGGTTTAAGACTATTTTTACATGCATGCATTAGAGATAGAATCGACATCGCGACACGCCATTTTTTGATTTAAATATTTTAAACAAAATTTAAATATGTTTTTTTTACATTTTTGCATTTATTTACTACTTTTCTAAAATAATTTGGATAAGCCAATTTGACATAATTGTTTCAGTACCCTATCGTTATTGTTTATATTATTATTGAAGTGGGACTTCTTTACGCGCGCAGGGAGTAAAATTTTAAAGCCTGTGACACCACAAAAACTGGTAAGGACGACCTACGGCTTAGAAAAAATCGTCTGATTTAAATAAAATTTTAATATGTCGATAGAATGACTCTCGATATGTATGTTGATAGAACTTGACCGCATACGACAGGTGTCACAATGATAGTTAATTTTGACGTAATAAACGTCAAAAGTTAATGTCCGGCGATCGCAACAAAATTTGGTAAGTATACTATGTGAGCGACGGTGCACACGGTCCCATCCTGCAAAGTTGTTTACATATTCATCAGTATGGGACTAAGAATTTGATATTAAGTAAAATGTGGGTCGACTTCGGCAAAATGGGGGCAGGCTATAGGATGACGCCCTCGACGTTTCGAACCGATGCCTCTAAATGAACGAAATCATCAGGATTTTCTTAATCATGGGTTGATTGGAACCAACTTGGCATGTGGATAGAGGTACCCGAATGAAGTCATCAGACGGACAGTAAAGTGGGTCAAAGATCGAATATTTTTTTTCACTTTATACTCTGAAAAAAAGGTTGGTAGATACCTAAAAAATGCTCTCCAAGTATGAGCTCTTAATTTAAAGAGGAAGGTCCTCCACCTTTCGAAGAAGGTCCTCCGCGAGAGAGAGAGAGAGAGAGAGAGAGATGTGTTAAAGACGCATCGACTGTAGAGTCTTTTAGCGTCACTTTATCCCATTATTTATATATTTTTATATATGTCGATATCATTTATATAATTATATAATCCAACATGGTCTTGCTATTTTGGAAGGAAAGGGCTACCTCAGGGTTATCCACGATACCGTGTTGTCTTCGTTTTAACGCGTCCTTTGGGCATTCAAAGATGTGTTTCACGGATATTGGAAGATTACATGTTTCACATATGGGCTGATTCGGTCCTTTAAGGAGGTGTTCATAGGTAAGTTTCGTGTGTCCTAAACGAATTCTAGTGAGCACAACGAAATCTCTTCTAGGTAAGTTAACTACATTATTTTCAAAATAGTCCCTTTTGATTTCATGAAGCTTACTATCATTCATGTCCAAGTCCCACTCTAGTTGGATTATATTATCGATCATATGTTTGCTATAATTCTTT